TATAACTCTAAAGGTATGTGATAAACTGCGTTGGTAGAAAGAGGCATCTCATGTGATACGTGTTTTACTGTCAGCTTAGTTGTTGTTTTTTAATACTGAAATCTTACTAAAGTAATAGATGATCTAAATTCTATGTATATCTACATGTCGTGTTTTTTGCATTCCTGTATAGCCAAAAAAATGTTCCCAGTGGGAAAATAAAATGTCTTATTGTCGTATCCTATCGTATCCTATCGTATTTTATCTTATCGTATTCTATCGTATCGTATCCTATCTTATCCTCGTATCTTATCCTCGTATCTTTTCGTATCTTATCTAATATTATCTCTTTTTATCTTATATTGTCTCATTTCATCTTGTCTCATCTTATCTTGTCTTATCTCATCTTAAACAAACATTCCAAGCGACGTTTTGCAGACCGTGTTAACCCTCTCCCATCCACAGGTCTACGACCGCCTCCTGTATCTATGCCAGTACCAGAGCTACATAGTGGAGAAGGACTTCATCCGCGCACGGGACGCCATGAACGAACGGACGCTTTCAGTGGTTGCCATGGCGATGCAAGAGTTCTCCTTCCTGGTGCAGACGTCGATTCAACAACTAGCAGACGTGAACATCACTTCCGACTCGGTCAGGCAGGTCATCTACCTGGAGGTGACGAGACAGTTGGAGGGGCGGATAGACATCGCGCAGAGAGCTCTACAGAACTACACACAGTTCAGAACAGCCCTGGAGTCAGGGGAGCCCATCTTTAACTACATGGTATAGATCTATAGTACTATATTATATTTCTATATTTTACATAAAAGTGTTTCGGTACTTGCAACAAAATGAGGTTATATAAGTGCCAAAGATTAGAGGCGTTACAAGGGAGTGACAAACAGTAGAAACAAGTTATAGTCGTTTGATAGTAATAAAGAACAAGAAAACTACACCGAGCACCCATCAACCACCCACATTTTAAAGATAGATAGATAGATAGATAGATAGATAGATAGATAGATAGATAGATAGATAGATAGATAGATAGATAGATAGATATCGATACCGATATCGATATCGAAATACATAATACTATAGACATTGATATAGATATTGATGCAGATACAGATACAGATAACGATACTAATACAGATATAGATATAGATACAGTATA